TTTTTTTTTTACTGTTTAACAAACACTTTAAAAAAGAGGAAAAACAAATATAAAATAACCTATTTGAGTTCACAGCTTGTGGAAAATTAATCAAATAAAAAATAGCCCACTTTAAAATAAATAAAACATAGCAGTGAAATAAAAAGAATAATTATGACTTCAGTCCATTTCAGTGTGCTGTCATCGTCTGCAATAAACCAGCCCTGAGCTCAGCATGTTCACCCAAAGGGGGCGAAAGAGCCGCATGCACCTCCCCGACCTCTGGCTAAGAGGGCATCGGTACAAAAAGTGTGGTCTCATCATCTATCGCCCAGCTGCTCGCCCAGAAATCTAATCAGTCCAAAAATTCAGTGGTATTTCCAAGCTGACTTTTGAAAGGAAGAAATAAAATGAATAAAAAGTGAAGTTCAGGTTTTGGCAAACCAACAGCTCAAATACAGAGGCAAATACAGTCAGTAAATAACAGAAAATCTATTTTCTTCATCGATCATCTAATCCGTTTATGAACGGATTATTCAGCTTGTTAAAACTTGCGGTCTCTGCTGGAAAAAGTTTGCCCTTCTTTAGATGTAAAAAAAAATTGCTGTAAAGTTGGCAGTTTTTCTTCCTTTTTTTCTTTAAACTTCTTGAAAATGATATCTTGTAGCCGCGCGTGTCGCACTGACTCAGCCATTCAGATGAGAGAAACACACAGTGTAACATCTTCCAGGCATTAATCATGGTCTAGTGCAGGCTAACATCCATCTCTCTTCCTCTGGCTCTGCTCAGATTTAGTCAGTGTCAAACTGCTGTTTTCACGCTGAGAAAAATCGCCCGTCTCATTCAGGCACAGCTTTCCTTCATTTGACATCATTTATCATGGTGAAAGCTGTTGTTTGCTGTGGGAAATTTCCAAGTAATATTGAAAGCCCGCTGCACAGATGCTTTATACACACATTCGAGTTTGCTGTGTTAGTTGAGGCTAAGCTCCGTGTGTGTGTGCTTGTTTGTTGTTTGTGCAGGAGATGGAGGAGAGAATCCAGCGTTTTGATACATTCCTGTGAAATGGAGAGAAAATACCCATCAGGTAGATCCTGAACAGCCTGGGACCACAACAACAACAACACCACACACACAAAACTGAGTGAGCACGAGTGGAGGAGCTTCAGCCCTCAACACAAAAACACCACACAGGAAAATCCAGCACCCTCCTCGTCGCTGGGAGGGAACAAAGCGAGGATGAGGACAGAGACATTCAATGGTGCTATCGTCTCAGGAACCTGGCCACATCCAGACGCATACTACACAACCAAACCCCTGGAGGTGTGTCAGCCACACTTATATACACACACACACAGACACGTGTGCACACAAACCGACAGTGGCGGGCAACACTGGTGCTACTCGGGTGCTATCTATCCTCAACTTTATCCGTGCTGCTCTCGGGAAGATTTCTTAAGTTTGGACAACTAGAAAAACCAACAGATGGGGTGATGTCATATCACAACGTGGCAGCGCATACACTCCGAAACACTCGACACGAGTATGCATGCATTTCTACAAACAGACACACTCACTCAGACCCTCACCAGCAGAAGTGTGACAGCAGAGTGCCGCCAGGAGACGAGGACGGGGAGCGAATGGGCGACCCACGTCAGCGAGCCCTCCTGCCCTCGAGTGGAGCGCTTCATCATAGGCCAGTTGTTACCGCGCTATTGTGCGACCTTTTTTGTTGTAGTTTTGTTTCCTCTTCTCTCTGCCCTTTTAGCTACTTGATTAGTTCCATGTCTGAGCCACAATCACCCAGAAGAATAGTTTACAAAGAAGTTTTTTACCGTAGACACAAACTCGATGAGGTTAGCACAGCAGGACTAGAATCAATTATGTCCTCTTCATTATGGCGGTCATCAAGCGTGGAAAGCCGTTAGCCCCCTCAGCGCTGGTCTCAGAGTTACTGGTGAACAAGCGTAGCGTCGCCTCGGGGTCATCTGTAAAAACCTCCTCACTCGAAACATTCGCTGGCAGGCCACCTCTGGCGTTCACAGTCTTAGCGGATTGTTATGTCCTAAATAGTTGTGCTAGCGCAAACCCCCGACTCCTCTTCACTAGATTCACAGTATGAATGTTTTCCCTCCTGCTCCAGCAGCGCCCGCCAGTTGATTTGTATTTTTTCCCCCCTTTCTTTTGTTTTTTTTAACCCCCCTACCGACACACTCCTGCTGAGGAACTGGAAGCAGTACAAATTGGAAGGCGTCTGTACTTTTTTGCACTGCCTAGCGTGTGCCTTATTTCAAACCTCATATGAAAGTGGTATATTTAGCAGGATGTTTGTTTTTACTACTCGTGACAATGAACAGGCTCCCAAGTTGGGGAGGAGGGTGTTTACCACCGAGGTCACAGGGACCTTGAGGCAACGACGACTAAAAATGATTATCTTACCGCCATTAGATCGATTAAACATATCTACGTTATTCACCTCTAGTTAATTTTGAACTCTTTGGTCAAGAAATAAGTGGAAACAGTGTTGTGGTCAAATACATCTCAGATGATGTTCAAATATTTAAATTTATTCATGTTTCTGTAATAAAACCTCAGACCAGTCGGTGAAGGTCAGTCTCCACCTGAGCAGGACAGCAGGTGGAAGGAGAGGTTGGTGACACCGGCCTTCAGTTTTT